TTTTTAACCTTTTCTTCAGTTCATCTTCGCGTGCCTAGGACGAGGGACCAGTTTGCGAAAGTCTATACGACGAGACGATAAATGTAACAGAACATACACATAGTTATCTTGACCGACTTGTTCGGGACGTGTGATGCAGCGCCTCCGTGACAGCTTCGTTAACAGAGTCACGCATCCAGCAGAGGCCATCGGTATTCGATGTCGTCCTTAGACGCTCTCGCACGGGTCAAGCCTCCCGGCGGGTCAGCTTAGAGTTCAGGACGAGCGTCGCGTGTCCATCCAAGGCTACCGCGATGGCTTCAGCCCTACCTACGCCTTCGGACGGCAATGACCAACTAGGAATTGCGAGACAATAGCCTTCTGAGCAACTTGCGAAACGGGTCCAACGGACCTTGTCCTAGTTCCGTGCAATGAAAGACGCGTTCGTTTGGTGTACCGGTAGCTTATCAAGAACGCGCATCATCCTGTTTGTCGAGATTGAAATTACGTTTTATGGGTGCTTCCGTCATGTTCTCTCGTCTGCTTTCTCCTTTAATCTTGTGGCTATAAAAAAAGGATGCTCCACGCTGAGATAACCATCTGGATTTCTTTAGGGAAATGTTCAATATCACGTTCGCTATTGCACTGTGTATATTGTGCGACTTTTAGACTCACGCTGCTAGAAATGATTTAATGTATCTAAGAAAAAGCTTAATAAACTGTAGAGTTTTCGAGAAAAAACAAACAAACAAACAAACAAACGATTCTTTATATGGTAATCTTGCGGAGCTTGAAATGTTAGTCGTGAAGCGGGGAAAGGGGGGGGGGGGAGAGAGAGAAATACCTAGCACATTTTCACTGCAACAGAGAGCATTCTCGCAGTTCTAGAGGCGCTTTCAACGCGTTTCGATTATTGTCTGACCGCTCTGGCAATTTTTACGAGTCAAAGGCGAGTGTGCTAACCTGGATCACGGAACATGCATCACAAGTCGTGGTCTACAAGAAATCTCGCGTGAACAACAGCCATCCGAATTGAAACCAACAGCGGAGTACGATTCGCTTTTGTGGCCACTCGAGTTGTTTATTATACACAAGACTAGTGGGAAGAACGCACGGAACAAATACGTGTAAATCATTTCTCTCCGTATTGTTGAAACGATCGCTTAGACAGGAGGGATAGATTACAACAATGAAATCGTACATCGTGTAGCTGAATCGCCAGTAAGACAAGCCGACGAAATGCGCTCGGTCTAAGACAGCGGAAATGTGCGTTTCGAAACGTTACATCACGATAGAAGACTTTGAGTGGGCCGCGCCGGGATCGCACAAAAATAAATACATCACAAAACGAAATAGACACTCCGCCCTACGCCTGCCATTCCGTCAGACATCTAGAGTGGCAAATCAGTTCAACGGCCTCAGCCACCCACGAAACGCCGTCACATCAACCGATGTCCAACCCGAAAAGGAAAACGCCCTGAGCGGCAGCAATCATTTCCGCGGTAGCCATAGTGCCATTTAAACACGAGGAAACGCAAGAAAGTTTGGCATGAAGTGTGCAACGAATACCCACGTGTTCGAACCTTCAAACCTTCAAGCTCGCATGAAACCTACCCGCGCACGGAGGCATCGTATACACGTTCATGCATATGCAACAAGGCCGCCCTTAATTCCGCGAGCTTTAGAGAATTCGACGTCAGCGAAGAGACCGTTGGTGAAGAGAGGCTAAGGGCAGAGGCGTCTGTCTGCGAACACAGTGCAACGAAAGAAAAAAAATAAAGAAAAAATTGCATAGTGTACAGCGTGCCTCCTACGCGGAGAAAGAGATAAGCACAAAAATTCCAAGTTCTGGCTCGGAAGAGCTCTGCCCGTTCCAGGGACTCAAAGCGGGGGCGGTGATTCAAGTAATAAGCCTTCATTCACAAAAAAAGCGTAATATTAAAACTGAAAAAAAAAAGACTTAAACGCTTTCGTACACGTCTTCCCCCGAATTGAATTAACCTTTTGTAAATTAAATGACTTCGCAGAAGATTAAAAAAAAAAAAAAAATGAAGCGCATTTATGTGCACGAAGAGTTCTGAAGAAGTAACTCCGTAAGATACGTCAATTATGCCCGAGACTGATGTGCGCTGAACTCGTTTCGACGCATCACATAATTACGACTGTGTGGGTGTGACGTGCCTGTGTGTGCGTGTGTGTGTCCGTGCCTGCCAGAGTTTTCATGCGGTTGCATCCGTTCGCCGCATAGAAAATCCTTTTCGCTTTCAGCCTTTTTGCTGCCGTGGAAACGGGATGTTTATGGGTTTCTGTGTCGTGGGGTGCGAGTCTGAGGCCAGCGGGTTAATCCCGTCGGCATTCCGACATCTGCATGCCGCTCCAGACCTTGCTAGGGGCTTTGGGGCTATACTACTTGCTCTGGTTGTGCGCCGCCGGGATTTATTGCTTTGCGCCCGGTGCAGCTCCTCACGCTGCAGATGGGTAATGAGGTCTTCGTCGACGATGAGTACGACTGGACTCGAAGAGGGCAGCTCGAGCGAAAGCTGCGGCACAATTCCACCTTTGTCGAATGAAGCCAAAAGCACCTATCCTCGTTGTCGCATCGAGAGAAAAAGAAAACATTTGCACATTATTCGTGCTTTGCGCGAACTGGTTATTACAAGATTTGGTTGACGAAGGAAGAAACGATGCGTTTAGCGTTTGAAACGTGCGCGTATTAATTCTATAGTGTGAAGTTAATCTGAGATGTACCTACATATATATAAAAAGGGACAATGCGATTAATTTTAAACGGGAAAAAATTACTCTAGGTTGGGAGTTTGGTGATCGCTCATAGTTTAGTGGGTTAAACGGAAACTCGTACACGAGGGTAGAAAGCCAAAATCCTTCTTTTTTAAGATTTCTTACCTGCCTCGAAATCTCACCGCCTTTTCACGTCGATGCATCCGCGGTGCCCAAGCACGTCGGCAGAACCCAGCTCACGCATTGGACACGAACACTGCGTCATTCGGACGCTCGTCAACAGTCAGTCCGTCGACGAATATCTGGACTCGTGTTCGTGGGCAATGAGTGCCCTGGCGGAACTTAATCATCACTTGCAAATGACAAGTTCCATGGTGTGCTTACAAAGCACGGTGGAAGTTTGGAGTCATCACGTCCGGTGAAACACTACGTCACGACGACGTGATTTCTCATTTCTCTTTTGGGTTGAGGAGGAAAGTTAAGGAGGAAGAAGTTGAAAAATCCTTTGATGGCCCCTTGAATTCACCTCATGAAATGAAGTTAGTAACGTATACGAATATATAGATACAAGGCCGCAGTGCTGACTTTCCTGCGTCACTCACTGAGGGCCAGTCCTCGGGTTGAAGGTTGGACGCGAGTTTCGACCGAACGCAGACGTACAGCGCTCCTGTCCAGTACGGGTCCACGCTGGCACTCCGAAGGTGACGTAGAAAATTGAGAACAGCAGGCCTTTCTATCCATACTCATATTCACCTCAGGAACCGTAGTAAGAAGAGTCCGGAGCGGAGCGTGGCTAATGTCGCCATCGCTGTGTTGAATTAAGATGTATTATAGTTAATTAGGATTAGCTTAATATTATTTTATAAACGCGTACACGTTTTGAAAGCCAAAATTATCGCTTCTCCCTTAGACAACCAAATATTTCTTTTATCTGGCAACGCACATAGAGAGGAAAACTGCATTGACGCTCTAGAGACAGTCTCTCTCTCTCTCTCTTTCTTTTTCTCTCGATCTCGATCTCCGAAGTACGAACGATAATCTATATAATCCTCTACTTACTGTTACCATCAAAAAATGTTCCCCACCATGGGAAGGTTTCAGATCTGACGAACTTTATTAGTAATTGGCCACCTGATTAGAAAATACTTGCCGATTGCACTATCTCCAAACTGTCCGCACTCGCTTTTATTGTTTATCGAAGAAAGAATAATGGAAATATTGTGATCAATTCTTGGTCAGCCGGCCGAGGAACTGATTGAGCTATGTACGCAGTACTAAATACGTCATGTCAGGGTACCATGCTCTTTTATGGCAGTGTACCATGTCAGTGTACCTTGCTCTTTTATGTCGAAACAAGATGTGTGAATTGTACCATTTCTATGCTGCATGTCGTGGTCGTTTGTATCCTCCCCAATATTTATGAGCATTCGCAACATTCAAAAAGTATAAATATGTTTTAATGCTTGTAAAATAAATTTGTTTTAAGAATGTTTTGAACAGATAAATTTATTTTGAAAGTACCCTCCCCCTTCGAGGGTTCAAAACTGGCTGTCCATGGTAAAGGGAAATCGGGTGCTCTCAGTGATGGCAAAAGTCTGTTGAAGTGTGTTTTTTTTTTTTTTGCTTTTTTTTTTCTGAATGGCGCTAAGCATAATATGGATATCAGTCTGGCTGCGTGGTTGAGAGAATTCCAATAGTACAATCTTGATGAGTCGATGTTCGGGAAGCTGAGCTTAGCGAGGCTCGGGAGAGATTTGTTTCTGACCGAACAACAATACAGCTCCATAAAAAAGTAGACGCGCGGGTAATTAGGAGCATAGTAGAAAAAAAAAACGGTGGTTATAAATATATGTATATACATAAAAAGGAAAAGACAAGAGGGTACATGCAGAACAGGAAGAGCTCCTGTAATCCTCGGCGTACTTTTATTTTGTTTTGTTTGTTTGCCGGGAAAGAGGGGAGGAGTTGGTACAAGGGAATGTTGTGTGCATACAAACCAGCCCTGTCTCCTAGAAAGGGCCCCAGTTGAGTTCTTCGGTGTTGGACGCCACTGCGATAACATAAACACCTGGGAGCTCTTAGCGATCAAGTGAGGTGCACGCACGTCGTTTACTAATCAAATCGACCTTAGTAGCCTTCCGGTCTTTCCCCGCAGCTTCGCGAGGTCGCTGCACGTACGCTGGGAAAGTATCTAGAGCTTTCTATGAGAAAGCGTTCACACGCGGCGTTACCTGTCGGGCAAAATCGGAAGCGGTCTTCTGTCTCTGTTGTTGCACAACGCAGGAAACCCAGCGAGCTTTCGCAGACGGTCCAAGCAGAGGGCGACAAGATGGCGCCCCTCAGCGCGACGGGGGTCACAGGTGAGAGCGGGGAAAGCTGACCTTGCAGGAAGGGTATACACTTCCCGGGTCACACGGCGGAAGAACACGGCTTCGCTCTCGTCGTCGTCGGCGGCGGCGGCGTTCCACTTGGGCGCAGAGCTCCCGGGAGCGCGAAACAAAAGCGTGTTTAATCGGCGACCGCGCCGAATTGGTGTGCTGTGGCATCGCCGGCAAGCAAAACAACCGGGTGACCGGAGAAGGACGCGAGGACAGATCACGCGAACAAAGAGGGACAGCGGTTGACGACAATCACGCGACTGTTCTGTGGTGCAGCGGTCCCACGAGGACAAGCTTCAGCACGCGATTTCTGAGAGCTGCACTCTCAGAAAAAAAGGGTGTATGTGGGTGTATCGCGCACCCTTACACCCCCCTTCGACTGGAGACACCCGGCGAGCGTAATCGCACTCCCGTCACACGAATCCTCCTCTCCCAAAGGAATCGGCGGGCGAGGCGAGGGTGTTGCCAGGTGCACCATTACACCCCTCCCCTCTCCTTTCCTTTTTCAAAAAGGGGAGAGGGAGTGCTATCAGGAGAGCGCAAGAAAACAAACAAAATGCGCGCGGTAATAGAGTAGAGCGCGCGTCCTGATTAACAGTCACTGGTTACACGTCATCCGACTGACAACCTATCACGATAGCGATCGCGTTTCGCGTGTTATCTGGCCTTCGTGTTGCTAGGAGACTTGACCTCCTCACCTCCTGCATTCCATCTCGGAGTGCTTCGGCGGCCATACTTTTGCTTCGGCTGGCGGGTGACATCGCCTTTGTTCATTCGCGCTATTTTGAATTGCGTGTTTTTTTAGAAGGTGGTTGGACAAAGCGGATCGTGTTCACGAAGCGATGCTTGGCACGTAGCTGCACTGCAGTCACAAACCAAGATGTGCCCGCCCGATAAAGGTAAGTCTGCCTTTTACATGCACTCGTTGGATGCTGCGTTTTGCGAGGCATGGGGCCTGCTAGTTGGGGACGTGCTTTCCTTTTTCTCCTGTTTATGTCAGAGTTTCTTCGCTTTTGTATTTGTGGCATGTGTGCGCGGTGGCGGTGCCCGGTTCTCTGAGTGTACTATCGGGGAAAAATGAAATGCGAACAGAGGAGTGCGTGGCTCGCGGTACAGGCTGCGCCGCCTGGAAGTGAACCTAGGGGCGAGGGTGCGTGGCCTACTTCGATGTGTTCACGCCCCTCGATTGGCGCTCTCCCAGCTTCGGCAGTGCGCCTCTCGGTGCGCTGAAAGCTGTCACCGCTATCTTTGCATGCTCGGCGAGTGCGGTGAGCTTTTTTGCACCGCACGCGCTGAGCCAGCAAAGATAGCGGTGGCAGCTTTCAGCGCACTGAGAGGCGCACTGCCGAAGCTGGGAGAGCGCCAACCGAGGGGCGTGAACACATCGAAGTAGGCCACGCACCCTCGCTCCTAGGCTCGCTTCCAGGCGGCGCAGCCTGTACCGCGAGCCACGCGCTCCTCTGTTCGCATTTCATTTTTCCCCGATAGTACAAACGAGCACGACATCGCAGCTTCGAGACATTATTCTTGCGTGTAGAGCTGGCGTCATTCAGAGCAACGGGTCTCTATCGTTTCGCCAAAAAACACTTTTTGTGGACAGATGTTTCATGGACTCTCGTTCGTCGACACTACCGTTCCATCGACAGTCGTTACGCGGATTTAGCGTTGTAGGGACATTTCGTCGCGGGTGTATCCTACACGTACTATCCGCTTCGTGGCAACAGTGTGAGGCAGCTCCTTATAGAAAAAAGGTAGTTTGTGCTGTCGATGAAGCATTCTGGCGATGAATCAACGCGTATCTATAAAACGATCTGTCGGTGAAACGTTCGATTGCAGAGCAACATGCTCGCGCTTGTTACCGGCTTCGCTCGCACGTGTGGTTATGCAATGCGATTTTCAATGGGGATGATGGAACTAAGGTGGCGCTTCAAGACAAGGCAGTTAGAGTTCTTTTATAGGTTCCCTACGGGAGTCAGAGTTGCGCGTTCATCTTCTTAGCGCCGTCTTTCCTGCACGGCATGTTGATCCAGCTCCTCACGCGACTTTTGGACCTCTTGGCGAATATGTGCTGCCACCTCGACACGAGGCTAAGTGTCGAGAAAACAACGCGCGCGCAAGGCCTCTCCCACCCGTTCTACACCCAAAACGTCAGCTACATCCTGTTCAACCATTGAGGCGCTGTGACCTAGATACTGCTTCCCCATACTCGCCTTTGTCCCCATCGTGCGTAATCTTCCGCCCCCGAGGTCAACACAACAAAACCATATTCCCTCCCTGCTCGGCCACTTCGAAGAGGGAGAGGGTACTGGAACCATTGACTCTCGAACCGACGAGGCGCGCGGCGCGCTCAAAAGCAGGGGTGCGTACGGCGGGGCGCGTGCAACGTTACTTTCTTGCACGGTACGTGGTCGGATCTCGTCAAATAGCGGCGCGGCGGCACGTAGAAAATAGACGCGCAACTCTGGCTCCCGCAGGGAGCCTATACAGGAACTGGTACTCTAGTGCAGCATTGAGATTATAGGCTCCAGCCAGAGTTGCGCGTCTGGTTTCCACGTGCCGCCGCGCCGCTATTTGCCGATATCCGATCACGTGAGGAGCAGACTCCAAATGCCGTGCAAAAAAAACCACCGGTACGGCGGCTTCGCCGACGGTGCAAGCGCTTCGGTGTGCATACCCCCGCTTTCGCCTCCTCCTGTCCTGTGTTGCCCCCCCCCCCCCCCCCCCTGCCACCCCCCCTAAAACCGCCGCCACAGGGCAGGTTAAAGACTGGCCGGCTGCGCCCAAGGGATACTAAGAGCACTCCCCCCCCCCCCCCCCCCCCCTTTCCTGACTGGAAAACAAGTTGGAACGCCACTGACCGTACATATTCCCCACGAACTACACCCTCCACAATACAGATACAACTACACATTGTATCTGTCTTCCTGAATACTTTTTCACCAGTTTCGCGGAAGTGTCTCGGGGATATAGCATTGCATAAAAGACAATGTATCTCAGTATCTGTATTTTTGGCCTTAAAGCAGATGTATCTCAGTATTCCCGAATACTTTTTGGAGTGTGTCTGCCCAGCCCTGGTTTATGGCACATTAATTTATTCTATCATTCTTATTATTTTCCAGGTACTTCGGGCAAATCAACCCATCTGAAGTGCGATACAAAAGTGCAACCAGTGGCATTGCACCGAAGTTGCGAACTCTTCAAGTGCTTTGACATCTGTGAGTGTACCGTCCTTCAATTATACTCCGTGTCACTAGTTGTGTGTAGTCCAGGTGAATGCAACGGCCATGCGAAGAGAGAAAAGGCGAGCACTAGGAAGGCATATGGGAGGGGAGGGCAGGGCTGGGGGAGAGGGGGAAAGCACTACGAATGTTAGATAGGAGAGGAGGTTACTCTCCTCACCCGCCTTTCTAGCGCTTGCCCTTTCCCCTCTTCGGGCATTGCCTTAGCCTGTGCGGCGCGCAAGTAGTGACTCGGAATAAATTCACCATTGTACAGATTATGATGCACTGGCAGGTAATAGATAACTGGGTAAAATTAATCTGCTCAGTGCTTGAAGACGCAGCTCGCGACTTGCTTGAACACGGCCCACAGGAAACTAGCTGCAACCTCCCGTTCTCATAACGAGCATTACAAATCGCATGCATTATAATATGTCGCTAATAGACCGATCTCACCAGCTAGTTTGAGTACGCCACCGCTGCCGATATGCATCGTGGGAGCTGTAGTCTTTCTACACGCGCGACAACCATGCTGGAGGTTTGCGCGAGCAGACCACGAGGCAGCATGACCTGTCGCGTGAACTGGAGTCTGCCTCTTACGAACTGCAGTTATGGCGGCGTCACGCATACGTGGAAAACTTGGTGGGATCGGTCTATTCATTTACGCTGAAAACGTAGCTATGCTCTTATAACATATCCACATAGTTAATGTAGTTTCGTTTTTATTTTTCAGGTGTTTAGTCTCTATTTTTCCTTCCAGTCTTTTTTTTAGTATTTAGCACCTGCACGACAATTCCGCTGGTAGGCTGCAACCACGAGCTCTTTGCCCAAGGATGCACTTCAACTGCATGAACTATCGCTTGTCCGAAGCAACCACCAAAGATAAATTCATGAGCTCTGGATTCTCGCCCTCAGAAAATATCTCCAGTAAAATACAAGTATTCGCTCAGACTGGTGCTATCAGAAATTCTCAGAAAAGCAAAAGGCATTCTTTCGAGACATGTTGAGCTTGAATATATCCTGAGTGAAATAAGCAACGGCAACAACAGTGTACTTGTTCTCTTGTCCTCTTAGAAAATGCCAGTATGTTGGCGGCAGTACCACTTTAATTCTTGTGATTGCATCAGGAAAGGGATAAGGGGAGCACTACAAATAAATCACGGCTAAAAATGTCACTGTCAAGATTGCAAGTTACAAAATGTGGAGAGCGCAAGGTCCCTTTAACAAATTTCTTGACCCCCATGCCTTACAGAAGCCCTCGATCTTTTGGGGGTGGGCTATCTGGCCTCTACACTCAAATGTGTTTGAGAGCACAGTTTTAGATGGTCCAAAATTTTGTTAAAGGAAGCTTGCATTAGGACACCTCTGATGTTGACATTCGTTTATCTGGTTAGGCGCCACAGTACAAGGTTGCTTATGGCATTTTTCGGCTAATTGTGCATTTTATTAGTAAAAAATAAACACAGTTGCAATAAGAAACAGGCTGGCATTGTTGAAAACCGCCAAAATCAGTTGTTTAAGTATATTGAAAACACATGCTTTTTATCTGTGTTTTCGGTTTGCCAGCCTTGCGCCTGTATCTAAACTGGTAAACTTTCCACCCCACTATTCTTCAATGGTGTGCAAAATATTTATGAAGTTGGCTGAGTTCCTGGTTTTTGGTAATGCTCATTAAGTAAGGGGTGGGGCCTTGACAGTGTCCTATATGTATCTAATCATGGCATACAACTGGGTTTTGCTTTTCAGGAATGCTCCATGGCTCTTTTTGGTGGTCAACACCCAAGGCACAAGACTAAAAGATAAGACATGCAAAAAGAAGAAGAAAGGAAACAAGCGACGTTTCTGGCGCATGCATTCAATGTGTATTTTTGTAGTATATGTTTCACCCAGTGTTTATGAGCAATAAATATGTAGGAACAGATACCAATTTTCGTAGCTTATTTTATAAAATATTGCATGATCCTAACAATATTATATTTGCAGGAGTGACACAAAAGCTCTCAATTGTATTTCAGGTTGACAGTTAGGACGTCAAAATGATGCCAGGCCACATAATGAAATGACGATAGAATGTGGGATTGCCAGCTTAATTGTTTTCGGGTTGACAAATGGGACATGAAAATGACACAAAACACCGTCGTTTGACGGTTAAAAGCTTGGAAAGGAGCTGCAAAGACATTTCCTGTCAATTTGATGGAAAATGTTCTAGTGTTAGTTTTGTTGACTTCGCACGTGTACACCTAAGAGTGGGGTTTATCGTATCCCAGTAAGTGAGAGCGGTGTGGAAAACGGTATATAAGTACACCTAAGAATGGGGTGTAACTGCATTCCCAGTAAGTGAGAAACGGAATATCTGTGCACCTAAGAATGGGGTGTATCAGTATTCCCAGTAAAGAAATGGAATATATGTACACCTAAAAATGGGGTGTATGAGTATTCCCAGTAAGTGATAAACGGAATATATGTGCACTTAAAAGAGGGGTGTATCAGTATTCCCAGTAAATGAGAAACGGAATATACGTACACCTAAGAATGGGGTGTATCGGTATTCCCAGTAAGTGAGAAACGGAATACACGTACACCTAAGATTGGGGTGCATCAGTATTCCCAGCAAGTGAGAAACGGAATATATGTACACCTAAAAATGGGGTGCATCAGTATTCCCAGTAAGTGAGAAACGGAATATATGTACACCCCGGGGTGGGGTGTGTCTTATGCACCCGCTGGGGTGCACATGTGCACCTCCAAATGAGGTGCATGTATGCACCCCTTTTTGGGGTGTCGCATATATACCCATGGGGGTGTCGTATATGGGACAAGTCACATACACCCCACTGGGTGTAAGTACTACACCCTTTTTTTTTAGAGTGTGCGCTATTCTGTCTACCCAACTAGGAACTTCAATGAGGGGCTCCTCTAGAACAAAGCTAGCGTTAGAAAATGATTTGTGTGCGTGTCTCGCTATAAAATCGCAATCCAAGATGCTCATGGTCTTTACACCGTGCCCAAGCTGACCGCGAGCGACGAAAATAATGTGCTCGACAGAGTTGAAGAATAGCAATATTTGGTTTCTAGGCGCTAGAACCGTAGATGTTGATGAGCCAAAAGGCGTAGCGCACTCGTGGTGGTGTAACTGCGCTAGGAAAATTGTATTTCAAGAGCACAGTCCCATCTCGATAAATTTTGGGAAGTGCTATACTTACTGTCCCCTCAAAAACCAAAGTAAAGCGTTCGTCTCCTCGCACAACATTAGCAATTTTCTCCTTTGTGTTGTGGATTGAGACACTTATCAAAACGTACAAGATTAAAAATATATATATTTATATATTTTTTTTCTATCTTGCGCAGCGTATAAACCGCAAGCATTTTTAAAATTTTTTTTTAGATGAAAACGCGTATAGCTTATTGATACACATAAGAAGGAAAAAAATTAAACTTTGATGCGCATCTTGGATTGTGTTTATTAACACCAGTAACGCTTTTGCTTGGCGTTTATCATAAGCTTTAGGCTTTACCGCCAGGTACCTTGGACACGAGCGAAGTAAAGCAGAAGTTTAGTACAACTTTAAAATATAGATGTCAGAAATTGAAAAAAATGTTCACATACAGTTTTTGGGGTCTCCGCCACTTGCCCCGCAATGTTTCCTCTGCTAACAGACATTGTTTCTCTATTGAATACGTATCTTTTATTGCTGAAGTCTCAAATGGTGCTCGTGAAACGTGACCGACCGTGTGACGTTACTCATGAAGCATATGCGTAAAAAGTAAGCCTTCTAAAGCAGCGCATAACTGATGGCCCCTTCCACCAGCATTTTTTGTTAATTTTCTGTCTTCCGTGTACAGCTTACGTTTCTCTGATAATATAAACAAAGAAGAAACAAGCCGTCTCATTTTCTGGCTGGCTACCAGACCGTCTATACATCTATCTATACAACAAATATTTAATTGCCGAAGTATGACTAGCAATTAGCGGGCCTGGATGTTTATTATTATTATTATCAAAAACATTTCGTAATATTGTGTACATCGAGTGTGTAACAAGAGGAAACATTAAAAAGTCAGCGCCAACCAGTATTCCATTATAGGTCCTGGAGCCCAAACAGTTTCCATCGTCTAAAAAATCAAACATCGTAACCTACTCTACTAATGCTGTCGCAAAAAAAAAAAAAAAAAAAAAGAACGAAAAACAAAGAACAAACTATTTTTGAAAGTATAAGAACTATATTAGGGGAACTTGCCCCTCCTTCCTCCCCAACTCAAACAGAAACATACAACTGACCAATATTTCTACGATGACCACCTCGCAGACAAAGTCAAATAGACCCCTTTTTGAAATTTAGTTTGGCAATTTTGATCACCATATCGTCGTTTTTGGTGCATGCCATCTGTGCCAACTTAATGGCGGCCTTCCCGAGGCCGATGAAGGAAGAAGTTAAAATACTACCAAGCCGGGAAGATATATGAGGCTTGTACGTTCGAGACGTCAGTACACAACACGACTCACGAATTGGATACAGCGGCTGCGTGAGCGTTTATTTCCGAGTGTGGTCCTATCAATATCTTGGCGCAAGTTTAGGTCTAAAACCTTTTGATGACGAAAATTTAATTAACGGCCTTACGGGTTGCCGCTCTGTACTGGTCAGTTCTTATGTTCGCACCATCGAAACTGAAATAAATTAAGAAATAATTATGAGGTGATCGAAGAATTCATTTTCATCTGCTATTGACGCGTGAAAGTGAGGATATCCGATGAAATACAGTTTCACGACAGCCAATAGTTTGTCGAAAGTGAATCTGCTGCTTGAGCCATCAGATGACACTGAACTTTGAGAAGGGTCTCTTGGAGTCGGGCAAAGTTCCACGAAGAATCGCGGAGCACCGATGGACAAGTGACTGCGAATCAAAGAAAAGGGGAAGTGATCTAAAAACAATCGAGGCTATATAAAGTAGACATACACGACGGGCGGGCAACCCTGTACGGGAGACGGCGCAGCACCGACGACAACACACACCCGCGGAGGAGGTCCATGGGCGAGCTCTTGTTTGTCAGGAACCGGGCTCCGCGACGCACGCGTCGGAGGAACGCACCAGGAAGACTCGTTTCCAAAGTGGGACTTGAACGTCTCGGGCTGTCACAGGTGTCAGCTCTTGGAGCGTGGCGGATGAAGAGAAACCAGCGTCCGCCCTCCGCCAAGACGAAGCTCGAAAACGTTTATAGATAGAGCCGGGCCGGGTAGTATGCCTGGAAGTTTGCAAATGAGGCTGCTTCGGTGTTGTTGTTGTTGTTGTTGTTGCAACTGTTGTTGTTGCTGTGCTAGCTTCTGCCGTGTAAGCCCGTAGCCGTGCCGGTATTATCCGGTCGCCGCAATAAATGCGCTAGAAAAGTAAGAATGAATGCTCGGGTTTCACGAATCACCGATGAATGCGTGAATAGTGGCCACGTTTCTCGCATAAGAAAACAACGACATATAAAGCAAATATATTAAAAGAGAAACTCGACGATTGCTAGGCTCGTGAAGCACCCATATTGCTACGATTCTTCTCGCGGCGTTGAATAAACGCGTGCTGGCGTTAGAATGATGCAGCATTGTGGAGGAAGGAGGAATAAGCGACCCGGAAGAAGATGAGCTGGGAAGAGTTTAACGCTGACGACTGGTTTATTTTTGTTCAGGTATCCTGCTCACGTTCCTGGTTCTGACTGTCGGTTTGGCCACCAGCGACGAGGAGGTACTGTTCTGGTTTCCCTGCTTCCGTCGGATTTATTGCAACAACACGACGGCACGAGATCATTTTCCGCCGGCAGACCGCCCCCAAAGAACTACCTCAGATAACCTCTATAATTTATTGTTATATTTATGATGTGAGATATGTTAAATAAACTACGATTTACGAACGCCAGAGTGTTCATACAGCAATGGCATTATGTTGAAATGGTAATGTTAAATACTTTATATTACGGAAGAATGTGCCACTTTGTTCAAATAAAATGCAAAGAGTGACGGAACTTCGAGCCCACTACGGGCGCAGTTTCCGAGCTTGGGTTGTGCTTAGCACGGTTCAGACACATCGGAGTAGGACGCACAACCTGACAGTGCCCTACTCCGATGTGTTTGAACCTCGCCAAGCACAACCCAAGCTTGGAAGATGCGCCGGTAGTGGGCTCCAAGTTCCTTCACAGTTCACATTTCATACGAATTTAATGGTACATTATTAAAATTTACGTCAGAATTTTAACGAAAGCATAGCAAAAACGGGTACGTAGACAGCTTCCCGACTCCTGAGTTCCTAGATGTCGTATAATGCCCTCACACTACGCAAGATATATCCTTCTTTACTCGAAAGCGTCCAGAAGATCAAGATTTGCTATATTTCCAATTAATACACGAGTTCATTGAAACACTCTGAGCTACGAAGACGAAAGAGGGACATAGAACATGCTAGAAGGAACTACAGACGACCACGGCGCTCAATCATCCAAACTCTCATTTCTTTATGGAGTCCAGTCACCTTCTGTCTCTGTATAATTTTTGAATCGTATGCTCATCTTGACAACTCGTATCCCGTACGTCGGTTAGAATTTCGTGTACCTCACCATTTCGTATGCCATGCGGACCTCGAATACCGATATACGCAGGACGGATTTTGTTTAGTACCGTTGCAGAAGTAACACGCTCACGGCGTATTTTTCGAGGGCAGACCGCGGTCCCCTTTGCAAGAATAAAATTTGTCCAATATATATATATATATACATATATAGCTATTGTGAAAGGCTACTACACACTTGTACCACGTTTACGAGAGCGGCGCGCGTGCCCCTGGCTCACGTCGACCAAAGCACGCTCTCGCACCGATATATATATATATATATATATATATTTGCTCCTTGCGCTTGTTTTACGTGCTTTTTGAGATTAGCGTTTCGCGTCTGAGCCACTTTTTTTTTATATCGAACAACGAATCTGTGGTGCGTCGGGCGCTACAATACTGTCGTGTCCTGTATTTTACAAGGTCGGAAGCCTGTCAGTTTAAAGACACAACCAGCTACTTGACAGTTTTGTTGTTATCGCATTTCGTAGCTCATACTGAATCTTCAGATTTTGGATTTTACTATTCATAATTATTAAAACAAGGGTTCGCTGACTGCTGTGAGTCGCCTGTTTGGCGTTTCAATTACCGATAAGCTTAGCTTAGTTCTTCCTCATCGCTTTCACATTTAGTCGTTTTTTTGTGTGTATAAGTTAGTGAACTGTACTAGTGTGTTCATGGTACTAGTACTGGCACTTTTTGCTACAGTAGTTCACTTTACTTTTTCCTTTTTTGTTAAAAATAACGACGCTGAAAGCAGAGTGTAGGATGAGATAGAAAAGATTGTTTAAGTATTATTCTTGATGGATTGTTCTTTGTGTTACTGGATTTACAATATCTCGGTTCGCTTTAAGTAGCAATCCTGATAATGGAAACAATTCAACAAATATGTTTTTCCTCACTATTTTACTTACAAAGGCAAATTAAACTGATAGAACTAAATGTTTCTTTGAACAAACACTCGCTTCTTTTTCTCGACAAGGCGCAAGACAAGGTCAGCGACACCCGCCCGGCTACTAGTCAGCCACCGAGCTCGAAGGAAGTCACCAGAGGCCTGTCCCTGCCCAGACCAGGCAAGCGCGTGATCGTCTACATGGGAAGTCGGCCGTGGCTCTCCAGCATGTTTGGGGAAGCCAGCAAGTCCGAGTACGTGGTCCCTTCCCTAACGCAGGGCTCCTCGGAAGACAGCGAGAGGAGCGACTCCTCGCTTTCCAGCAAGGAAAGTCAGCGAGCAGGGCACGCATCCCTGGAGGAACCGGTGCCAGTCGGAAGCTTGTTCGCCTCGGAAACGACGAGCAGCAAGGCCAGCTCCGAAGAAAAAGTGGACCTGCGGACGGAGTTGGACATTAACAAGCATCCTCCGCTGCCCCTGCCTCCGTTCTCGGGCGCCAGGACTGAGTTTAGGTCAAAGATAATTCATCCGCCGGAGCGGAAGGTGGACTCTTTTCTGGGACAGACCGGTGGGAACAACGCCGGTCTCGGTGACAACAAAAGAGCGGCGGTGCAGGAGGTGGCGGTCGGAAGTCCTTCGCCGGGACTCGGCACGCCCAAGCAACAAGCGTTCGTTGACCAGAACCAGAACTCCAGGTACTTCCGGTTCGGTACCTCAAGCGTGCCAGCTGTCAGCAATAGAGGCACGTTCGGCATCGGGCAGAATGACGACGAAGGGTCGAGGGCAGACGACACCTCGTCGTTCGGTAACGATCGCTTTAACCAGCAGCGTCAGACGTTCAACGTGCAGAACAGACAGACCGCGGCGCCTGTTCCGCCATCTCCTCCTACGCCGCCACCCCCGGTCAGTCGCTTTAGTTTTCCGACGTTCCAGCAGGAGCCAGCCATCTTCGGCAACAGCAGCGCGAGCCGCTCAGGAAATAGCGCCGAAGTTGGCTTCCAGTTCCAGACATCGCGTGCGCAAGATTCAGCCGCTCAACAGCAAGGCGATCAGGACAGTTTCTCGAATGCACCACAAAGGCCTGCTTTTCAAGGTGATAATCGCTCCACCTTCCGCCAATTTCCGCCGCCCCCTTCCTCGAGGCCCGAAGCACCGCCAGTACCGAAGGCTCGACCGATCCAAGGAGTGGCCATACAGAGGTCGTACCAGACTCTCGGTAACCTGCAACTCACATCTAGAGATGACACTGTGGGGATCGGCCTGCTTTCCCAGTCTCGGCCAGACACGACGCCGCCCAAGCCTCAACCACCGCTTGGAGTGCCAGTGCAAAGATCGTTCCAGACTTTCGGCGATCAGCAACAGACATCGAGAGAAGATAATTTTGGAACAGGTACACTTTCCACTCCTCAGCCCGAAACAACACCAGCAAAGCCTCAGCCACCGCTGGGAGTAGCTGTCCAGAGGTCGTACCAAACGCTGGGTAATCAACAGCTTTCATCGCGGGAGGATACTCTAGGTAGGGCTGCCCTGGCTTCTCCGGAGCAACCATTGCGATTTACGTTCCAAGATGCCAAGCCAGCTCAGCCAGTCAAACCTTTGCAGACTCCCGTCCAAACTTCGTTCCTTACATTCTTCGGTAATTCGGACTCGGACACGAATCAACAGCAGGCATCAAGCGCAACCACTAACAGCGGCGAGAGTGGGCGAGCCGACGATCCGCGATTCAACTTTAGGAGTTCCAACTTCCAGACCAGGCCACCGAGACCTCCACCGCAGAGACCAACTCCAGCCTTCCAGACAACGTTCTTCCAGACACCGCAGCGACCGTCAACCCCGAGTGCACCACTGAGAAATAACTTCAATCAGGCTTCTAGAACACCAGCAACAGCCAGACCCAACTTCCAGAGCAACCAAGGTCTTGCCCAAGGCGTGTTCCCAGTTAACCGACCGGCCCAGGCTTCGTTTTCTGGAAATCAGAGATCTCAGAATACGTTCGGGGGAAACCAGAGACCAGAAGACGATACGCAGTTCACTCAGGCGAGACAGCAGACTTCCGGTGGTAGCCAACAGCGACCACAAAACACATTTCAGTCGAACCAGCGGCCACAAAACACATTTCAATCCAACCAGCGACCGCAGACCTCGTTCCAGGTAACGCCGAGACCCTCGAACTCCTTCCAAGGAAACCAGAGATCTCCGATCACGTTTGTAAGCAACCAAAGACCACAGAACAGCTTTTCCACGAACGGACCTTCGCAAAACAGAGCGTCCCCGAACCAGCGATCTGAGGAACAGCCGCGTCGTCAGCAGCCAAACTTCCAGAACGTTCCTGCGAGACCTCCGTCTCCCCAGCCCCCGCCAGCGGCAAGAAACCCCCCACAGGACGACAATAGCAACACCAACGTCAATCCTCAAGACCGTCTCGAGCCCTTCAGGAACGACTTCCAGATCGCACTACGTCAGCGCGCGTTCGCGGCTTCAACTGCGACCCCGCCGGTGGACAACGACGGGGGACGGAGACCTGCCAGTCCGGCACCGAGGTCCAACCCGGCGACGCCCAAGAGGAAGATCAACAGGGTCGTCTTCATTCCGGGTAACTTCGGGGTGACCCCTACCAGGAGGCCGGACCCGTACCGGTCCAAGCTTCCCGGACTGGCTGGCTCTGATTATCCCACCTACAGCGAGGTTCCCTTCACGAACTTCAAGTGCGGCGAGCAAGCCTATCCAGGAATGTACGCCGATGTTGAAGCCGGTTGTCAGGTGAGTGCAACTAAAAAAAGAAAAGGAAAATAACAACAAGAACAAAAATGTTTTAACCGAGACGTCTTTCAACCTGTCAGGCGAGATTGTTGGAAATACCGAGTCTCACACATGTGACGCACGTAGTAGACGTATATCGAACATAGCATGCTATCCTGGTGTACCGTGCACGCGCCACGTGCGGAACCAGGCTCACGAGCTGATTCGCCGAGCGATGAATGGCATTCGATCAAAATGACATTTACCCCCGCGCCACACGGGCAACTCGAATGCCATTTACAACGAATGACATTTGAGCGGACGGCCAATCAGCGCTCGACACTCCGCGTTGCGCTATAGCGCATTCCACGCATGACAGATTGCGAGCTGATTCGCCGATCACACTAATGTCAATCGTTATAAATGGAATTCGAGTTGCCCGTGTGGCACACTCTAAAAAAAGTGTGTGCGTCTACTTTTACGCACAACACTTGGAGAGCCAATCACCACAACTTACGGAGGCAGCTCAGTGAATGACACTGCCGAAACATATGTTTAGACCAAAAAACACAGTCCGAGTTGTGACATTAAGCAATGCAAAACGTCACGCTTGAATTGCTTAATGTCACAACTCAGACTGCGTTTTTTTGGTCTAAACATATGTTTCGGCATCGTCATTCGCTGTGCTTCCTCCATAAATTCAGGTGATTGGCTCTCTTAGTGTTGTGCGGGAAAGGAGGCGCACGGGCTTCTTTTAGAGTGCAGGGGTTTTACTTTCCCGTCTGACAGGGGTATTAGTTTGGTTGGGATTTTACGATTGTCTTATTGAAGAGGAATAAGTGAACGACAGAAACAGGCTTTATTAGGTGCAATTCAGCGTTTGTAGTACATGGTCTAGATGTACAGCCTTACTAAAGCGAATATCGTTTGTCGTTTAATAACCTGTTACCGTCCCTCTCCTACCATTTACGCCAAACTCATCACTTCATATGCAGTCAGATCTGAGTTGTTTCGTAGGTTCATGTTATTGTAACGATTTAGCATAGCGTTAACATTAATAAGGAAGCGAAATTTGTCAGCTACGTAGATGATACAAGCATATTTTTTGTTTTTTTTAAACAAGTGATGATTTCATAGATATGGCTAGCCTGACTTTATTCAAGATAAAATTCCTGTGCAATAGTAACTCTTTAAAAACAAACATTAGTTAAACAAAATCAGTCATTTTTCGTCAAAAAAAAAAACAAAACAAGTATGTTGTACTATCTAAGTCACTGCTTCAATTCCTGTCCCATCGAAATAGTCAGTTTCTTCAACATTATGGGCGTATTTTGTTAATGAGAACATGTCGTGGGATTGTCATATAAATTATCCCATTCCAAAGCTATCCCGAGTGATAGAGATCCTAAATCACTACCGTAAATTAAATTGTTAATTTACAACTCTCTATTTTACTCCCACTTAACATACCACCATCCAGTCTGGGGTTCATCAACTCTGACCAATATTGAAAGACCGTTTTTGTTACAAAAATATATATTAAGGGGAGTATGTAATATTCCTTATGACACTCACACTGCGGAAATATTTAGGAATTTTAAGATAATTACTATTTACAATTTATAGACTATCCGTCAGTTTTAAGAAGGAAAAATAAGGGGCTCATGTTTTTTATAGAAAACCTTGCGCCTTTGGAGGAAAATTCACCAGCATACCCCACTTTCCGCGCGGAGAAGTGGAGGGTGGTCACTATAACCGAACAAACTATAATTTCAAATGCTTAAATTTGCACTCACGCATTTGTCAAATAGATTTTATATTAATATATTGAATTTTGACTGTATAACTTGTAAACATTCCCGCTCGTAGTTTTGCGCGTGATTTTTTATTTTTTTTTAATAGGTTAAAATGCGTCGTCACGTGGTTTCTATTGTTACTTTCTGTGTGTGCGTATTACCTCTTTTTTTCTTCTTCTATATTTGCTACACGCTTGAAGCTGACCATTGTAGGGACCCGATGACCAGTCAAACTGCCCATTGCAGTATTTTTCTTTCGGGTCCCTATTATTATAATTGATGGAAATAAAGATTTATTATTCATTACTTTTAAAGTCGTCACCGCCATGCCGGAACTGGGAGGAAATCTATCGCAAAAAAAAGTAGCGACGGTGATTTGTGTTCCGACACGGCAGTACCGGTAAAAGCATTACGCTAACGCCATGTGCCCTCATTCAAAATCATAAACCGATCAGTTGCCGACTCTGCGCTCTCCTCTCCCTCAGGTGTTCCACTCGTGCGACAACAATCACCGCGAGAAGAGCTTCCTGTGCCCCAACGGAACCATCTTCAAACAGGAGCTCTTCACCTGCGACTGGTGGTACAACGTGAACTGCGATGACTCGCCAAATTTCTTCCACCTCAACGCGGAGATGTTCACGACGCGAAAACCCAAGGTGCAGGAGAGTCAGGACACCGACAAGCGCTCTGGCCGCTCGGGATCCGCTGGCTCACGTTCTTTTTAAAGCTGATGTCACACTGCTCACACAGCGCACAAGAGGCACGATGTTAGCGGTCACGCCTGGAGCATCTTCGAAGCGTGCTAGCTTCACACATACACTCCGAGCATGTCTGCAGAGAGTTTTTACATGACCTATGTTACAGGATCATCATAAAAGGGAAATACGTGCTTCAGGCAGTACCCGCAGTCTGTCTTTTGTATGATGTATTATAGCAGTGTGATACCGGCTTAGAGACTTTGGAACCAGCCGGGTAGCAACGGTGGTTCGCGGAGAAAGAGCTCTCTGCATGTGCGAGTGGGTGCGTGGAAGAACGACGACCTACGAGTTCCGGGACAGCCGACGAGAAGGAACATTCCCGCTGAGCAATTTCGCCTTCTATGGTGCTCCGGCGAATCCAGTGTGCAGCCCGGTTACACCCTTCGGCGACGTCGACCGACGTAGTTGTGTAGCTGAACTATATAGTTGAAGACAGACGACGTTACGGATACTCAAGAAGGTGCTCGACTGACCGCACGGAAAGAAGAAAGTCGAACAAACGCACGGATAAAAGCCGAAAACGAAGTGATTTGTTAAATCGCTCTGGAGCTGTTTCGCGAGCACACAGAATAGCCATTTGTTGAGATTTCCGAGGACGCGCGTGACGGCATGCATTTTTGTGATTTAGCGAAGCGAGATCGGCGACCCCAGTTTTGATGAGCGTTGCCCTCGGATCTTAGGAATCATCGCGGTTCGCGCCAACTTGCAGCAAATCGAAAAATATACAATGTTGTTTCTATCCTGTTGTGTTTGGCTGTTTTCTTTTTGAGCTGATGTACAGTGGTCACCAAACTTATCCGGAGCACGCGAACGGTGTCTTACCTCATGAGAGCGCTATATCCTGTCGGTGACCGAAGACTTACCGCCGCCTTTTCGCACAAAAAAAAAAAAAAGCAAATTCGGTATGGGGATATTTATACAGCGTGTAGTTGGTCAGCCATTAAAGTTGCGACGAGTCACACGCTGTAGATGAGCAATTTGGCCAGTGCAGTACAACCGCTAGCCTGGGGTCTTTAACGTGCACACCGCAGTAGTGATACACGACCGCACGCCCGTACGATGCTCATCCAGATCGAAACGGGCAGGGATGGGGCTCGAACCCAGGATCCCTGGGTTCTGCAGCGCGAGTTTTCGCTCCACACGCGTCGAGCTGGGTGTGCTGTGCGCTTTAGCCCACTCGGCCTAGGGTGCCTTAACTCGGCCACCGCTCCTTTTTTTTTTTTCTTTATTGCCGGATTTTTTACATTGTCAAATAGGCAGGCATATCGCTCAAACCATAGGAAGCAGAGCAAGGCTAAACTAAACCAGTCCGAAGTGACTGGTGTCGGAGGCTAAAATTGTTTCATGGACGAAAAAGCCTTAATGCGCGGAAGCCACTCAGGCTCGCACTTCTGTGCTCTGTTGACTTCAACTAACAAAGATACACTTTCACGAAAATATTCCCGCGCCTCCCGTACATTATTCTCAGCGTTGTGTGCAGCCATTCGGGACTTTCAAATACTGTGCAGACCCAACAGCATAACCAGGTCAAAGGGAAAACCTTCCTTGTTTTTAACCGATGGATAACGGATTCCATGCGCGTCTAGGGGGAGGTCCTTTTTTAGGGTACGTTGGAGGACGTCCCAGAAGAAGACCCCATCCCAGCACTCAAGAAACACGTGTTCGACCGTCTCTAGCTTCTTGCATAAAAAGCAGTGATCCCGCCACGGTACAAAAAGTCCCCTCTCGTTTAGCCATGTCTTGACCGGCAGTGTACCTGAATGTAATTTAAAGAAGAAAGTCTTGGTACCTGCGGGCACTACCATACGCTTAACGCGCTTCAAGACATCCTGCCCTGTATAGAGGTACAGGAAACACATGGTGAATTCCGCTCGCAGATCTCGAGCGCTCCAAAAGCGCTCCATTTGGGGCGCGCATATTCCGCTCGCAGATCTGGCTCAAGTTGGTCATCTTCCGCTCGTAGATCTCTGGCAGCGCCCGCTCCACGGAGCGCCCCAAACTCCGCCGTACTTGCTCTGCGGGATTTCACAGATCTCTCCGGAAGTTGACAGAGCGGCCCACGTGATTTCCGTCTAAATCGGCGGTGCGCATCCGCAACGAGGTTGGAGAGATCGGCGGGCCGGTCGCCTACCGGTCGGGCCACGGTCGGGTCGTGGAGTTGGATCTGTTCGGATGCGTCGGTTGTTTACTCTGGATTGTGACGGCTCGAACGCTTGTACCTCGCGTAGATCAGGGATAAAAAGCCGGGAATGTGGAGCGTGGCAAATCGTAAGCGCTGGCATCTGTGATCGTGAGAGGAAGAACGACAGAAAAGCCGGAGGCAGACGCAAAGTTAGGCCTATTCATTCTGCAGCCAGTGATTGTTTACCTTTTTACACTGCATTCCGTCGGCGTTTTGCCGTGAAATAAAGCAAGAAGTGGTTAGGCTACGACCGCGCAAGTGATGGTTTGTTACCTCCGTGTTTATTAAAGTCGTACTAGAAATCTGAACTCCACCGCTGGCAATCGCTGTCCGTGCCCCGCCGCTTCGAGGCGGCCGAAAGGTATGTGACGGTGCCGAACGCGGACGTCTTCGTTATTTGTGACATGGGCGCCGTGGTACGTGTAATTCTGCCCGGCCTGTGTCACGTGTCACTTCTGCCGCTAAGCAGTGACAGTCGTCTCTGGTCGTCGGAAAGATCAGCCGGCTGAGTTCGAGCAGCGGCCATTTTGTACGGCGGAGGGAGAAGGGGTGGGGAGGGGTGTGGGGGAGGACCGCTCCAAAAATGCAAGTTTATCTTCCCCTCGTCGATTCAGAGCGGGTCCCACGGAGCGGAATTTTGCCTCCCTCGCGGATTTTGGAAAGCGCTCCAGATCTACGAGTGGAATTCACCAACAGTATCACACACAGCCCTATACAATCTTTTCCGAAGAACCTCACTCAAATACTCAACTGAAAAACGAGATAACAGAAATTTACATGAGGCAACGACTTCCTTTAAATATCCATGAATAGCACCAGACATCGAAGACGAGGAAACAATCAACTCAGGCAGCCTGCTTGCAACTCTCACTTGACAAACGGTGCGCAAAAAGGGGTCACTTTTGTCCCGAAAATACATGAACCGATTAACAACCTGGCGTAAAACCAAATGCGTCAAACTAAGCCCCCCATTGCGTACGCGGCGGAAAAGATTCGTCCTACTTGATCGCTCCCACGTGGAGCCCCAAATAAACACTGCAAATACCCGGTGCAATTTCTGCACATTTACCCGCGAACAATGCAAAACTTGTAGAACGTACAGTTTGCTAACAAAAAAACAAATTGCAAACTGTGACCCGTGCAAAAAAAGACAGATCATACCTCCGACTTTTTTCTACTGTTTCGCGAAGCTCCACCACCTGCCGGCGCCAATAGGGTTCGCTATCGCGATAATTTTCTAGAGGCACTCCCAAATATTTTACAGAGGTGGTCACCCACTGCATGTTCGTAAACGAACAAGGAGTAGAGCTCCACTCTTCATGCCAAAATCCCAGGCACTTGGCCCAGTTAACAGAGCTGCCACTGACTTCGCAAAAACGTTTAAGCGTGTGAACGACTTGAACAATACTCTCGCGGTTGGAACAAAACACTGCAATATTATCAACACACGCTAACACTTTAACTTCGGTCGCATGAAGCTTAAAACCACTGATAGTACTGTTTTTAAAAATACTAATGTAAAGGGATTCTATGTAAATGCAAAAAAGAAGTGGTGACAAAGGACACCCTTGGCGGACGGATCGATTCACTTTTATACGTTTTCCAACCGACTTGTTAACCACAAGTCTCGTCGAGCAACCGTTGTACGCCATGCTGACACCTTCGCGGATAACAGCGCCGACGTTTACATGATCGATAATTGTTAAAAGCAGGTCGTGAGGCACGCGGTCAAAAGCCTTTTCCAAATCTACCTGGAGCATCGCAGCGCAAGTACGTATTGCGTCGCAACACTCCAGAACACTGCGTGCTTTATGGATATTGTTCAAAAAAGTTCTTCCTTTAATGCCGCAAGTTTCATGGGGCCCCACTATTTCTGATATTACAGATTGCAATCTCCTTGCTAAGATCTTCATTACAATTTTGTAGTAGACATTAGTCAAACGGATCGCCCGATACGCTGTGACGTGCCGCAACTTAACTGCGTCATCTGTTTTGGGGATTAACACTGTGCGACGACATAAAAGATGGAGGCAACATAATCAAATCATATGCTTCATTGATTACTTTGGCTAGGACTGCGGCAATCTCTTGTTTCTGAGTCTTATAAAAGGCTGTACTTAGGCCGTCTGGGCCGGGGGACTTTCCCGGGTTAAGGGCTTCTATTGCAAAGACCACTTCCTCTACGCTGATGGTCGATTCTAGTAATTCTTTCGTTTCGTCATGTATGCGCGGCATGAAACTCAATAATTCATCTTTAAAAAGCTGGACATCTACTGGACAGGACGCAAATAATCTACTGTAATATTCGAAAAATGCGAGTTCGATTTCTTCCTTATCGGTCGTAAGTGATCCGTTCCTCTCTACCCCCGTTCTCTCGTTACGCCGAGCATATCTTTTCTCAAGGCTCAGCGCACGCTTAGTTGGCGCTTCGCCTGTTGTCCATCTTTCGGCTCTGGCTCTAACAATCGCCCCGCAATATCGTTCCCGATCTAGAATCGCGAGTTTATCTTTCACAAAAGAAATATCCTCTTTGAATGCCCCGGGCATTTTAGTCTCTTCTTCTAGCAGTATCCGCAAATTATTACGTAATAACATTTCGTTGCTTCTTTCAGTGCTTTTAAGTATACGCCTGCCCGCTCTAACGCTTTCATTTTTATTTTCTGCTTAAGAAGCTCCCCCCCATCTCACACCATACCCTATTTTTTTCTGGCTCTCCAGTGTTTCAACCGCGGCCTGCACTTGGGCAGTGAAAACGTCATCCTCCAAAAGTTTCGCGTTCAAGTTCCATAATTCCCAGCTGAAGACTTTCTGGCTTGGGATGTACTACGCATACAAAAGGAAACTAGACAGTGATCACTAAAGGAAACAGGGTGCACGCGATATTCAAAACATAATGGTATCCAATCTAAAAAAACGTACGCTCTATCTAGACGGGCGTGACTCGACCCTTGGAAATGGGTGTACTAAATTTCGCGGCCATTCCTCAAACATTCCCCAACGTCATCTAAGCCGGACTCGTTGATTAACCTATAAAAACGCACTTGGTGCTTAAATCGCGATAGGGCGTTGAGCTGGACTTGTCCCCAGCAGAGCAGATGCAATTAAAATCGTCAAGAAAAATAATAAGGCGATCACTTTTTTAATACTGATGCATGAAATCAAAAAACACCCGCCGCTCATCAACCCTATTGGAAGGGTACACACAAATGACCCTCCAATCATACGATGAAAGAGAAAAATCACATACAACAAAGCATCCTGAAGCACACGGCGTCACCGCTTCGACTGTTGCACCCAAACTCTGGCGCACTAACAACATACAGCCCGCCGACGACCCAACCGCGTGACTAACACACACTTTGTAACGCGCCGTAAAAGGTCTAACCATAAAATTGGTCCGGTCCTCACTCTCGACCTTGGTCTCCTGCACAGCGATGATGTCGAGGTCCTGTTCGAGTGCTAGACGGTAGAGTTGCCTCTGCCTCCTGCGATCTGAGAGGCCTCGGACATTAAGGGTCGCTATTCGGACAGGACTTTGTAAGGAGACCATGAGTTAGTG